GAATTTCTAAAAAACACACACAACCAAAGTGGGTTCTGAACCAAAGTGGGTTCTCCCTTAAAATTGGAAGAACCCCGAACGCCGTTTGAAGCAAGTATACAAAAGTTTCTTATTGTTCTGATCCACGACCTTTTCCAACAAATCAAACACAATCCAAAAGGAACAGAAACCTTGTAATGCTTTTACAAAATAATTAGCTGTGATAAGCACAAGTCTTGCCAAACTGTGCGAGACTTGCCAAAACATAACAGACAAGAAATAATTTGCAATACGAAAATGTTCAAATACAAACTCAGGATACTGGAATGTCCATGAGGCTGGAGTCTCAAAATGTCTTTGTCTTCTGCAAAGTACATTTGTTTCACAGCTGGCTTTTATCTTCTTTGAAGGAGGAGCCATTACCTTGCAGCCTTACTCCCGAGTCACCTGTGCTGTTGTAACTGCTCTTTCATCTGAGCAATCCTGCGCACACGCGTATTTAGCACAGGCTCCTCGGGAACCTCCTCATCACTGCTGCCAGCCCCCACAATCTCTGAAGGCAGCAGTCCACTTCCTAATGGTCCTGGCCCCTCATCTGAGTCCTCACTCTCCTCAGCCGTCTGCACCTGCTGCCGGCTAACCACAACACTTATTTTTACTTGGTTACATAAGAGGAACTCAGCATGTAGCAGATAAGGTACGGGACCTACAAAAATATGTCTGGAATGGTATAGGACAGTGGCCCCCAACCTTTTTTGTGCCGCGGCCCGGTACCAGCATCACAAAATGATCCACGGCCCTGTACCGGCATCAGCACGCATGACAAGGCAAGGCGAGCCGAGCGACTGGCCAGCCAGCCGTCCCCCGCTTCTCCCCGCCACCTTCAACTCCTCCTTTGTAGCTTTGTCGATGGGCTTCGGGACGGCTTCGGGACGGTCGCTCGGCTCGCCTTGCCTTGGGTGCTGAAAGAATCCTTGCGCCTTAGTTTCGTTCGAAGCCCCCCCCCTTTGATGAAACTAAGGCGCGAGGATTCCTTCAGGACCCAAACGCCGCTTTCCAACCAGAAAAGCTCACCCGGAAGCACTTTCTCGTCAAACAAGATGGCGGCGCCCAGCAAACCGGCGGCCTGGTAGGAAATGTTCCACGGACCGGTACCGGTCCTCAGCCCGGTGGTTGGGGACCCCTGGTATAGGATCTCCTGCTTGAGCAGGGGGTTGGACTAGAAGACCTTCAAGGTCCCTTCCAGCTCTGTTATTCCGTGGAGGGTGAAATAAGAGCTGAACTCAGAGAAACAATGGAGCATGGCAAACATCTAAGAAGGGACTCTCCCCCCCCCCCAGGTTCCTGGGCTGTAAATGTGAGGGAGGAAAGATTTAGGAGATGATCAGGCTGAACCTGAGGGATGGGTTGAATCAGTCTCAAGTCCCTTGGTGCCCACAAGAGATCTAAGTTCAGACTACCTTGAATTCCATTCATTTTTATCTCCTGCCAATTTGCTTTGACCGTTAATATGTCAGAGTGTTTGCGGCATGACTACTATTGTGAGACAACCCAGGAGCAGAACACAGGACCCAGAGTCTTATAAACAGTGGTTTATATATTACTACATACATACATACACGTGCTAGGCACATACCAGGCAAGCAAGCAATCTTCAACTCTACACAGAGAACTACAATGGAGATAGAACACGAGGAGAGAGAGAGATACTCCCTCTCACGGCCTCCCTTATACAGACAGATTCTTAAAGTGGCAATAACCCTGCTGACTCATCCTCATCAGCATTTACAGCAGCCTTACAGCAGTTGGTCAGCTATTAAATCTTCATTACCTTAACATAATAGTTCAGATTGTTGTAGAAAGTGCTGGCGTGCATTCAAGTTATCTTCATTTGAAGTGCCTGGGCTCCTGATTTCTTGCACCTCACAAGAGATGTACTCAAAAGATTACGTTACTGCGACTTCAGAATAAAGGTGCAGGTAAAACCACAGTTGGGGCCAGAACCTCCATTAGTAAGCAGAGCATTCATTAAGTGAGTCACATCTGAGTTTACAACTTTTATTGCCATGGTTGTAATGAGTCTTGCTGTTGATGTTGGCCTTGGCCTTGGCCTTGATATTGACATTGGTCTTTGCCTTGACAATGGCCTTGATATTGAACTTGACCTTGGTCTTGGTGTTGACATGGTCTTTGGTCTTGACATTGGCCTTGGTTAACAGTGGCCTTGATATTGGCTTTGGCCTTAGTACTGACATTGGCCTTGATAATGGCCTTGATATTGATATTGACCTTTGACCTTGATGTTGATATGAACTTTGGTCATGGCATTGGCCTTGGCTAACAGTGGCCTTGATATTGACCTTGGTCTTAGTATTGATATTGGCCTTGGTCATGGCCTTGATAATGTCCTTGCTATTGATCTTGACCTTGATCTTGGTGCTGATATGGACATTGGCCTTGATGTTGGCTTTGGTTAACAGTGGCCTTGATATTGACCTTGGTCATGGTCTTGATTTTGGTTGCAGAGATCTGCCACATCTTCCAAATCCTTTGCAAAGCACGGACAACCTTAATATGAAACTTCTGATCGGAAACCTATTTAAGCACCTAGGACCCCTCACCTATTTAATTTCCTGCACAAATGGTGGTCCAGAAATGATGCTGTTGGTGAGGCCACATTTCCACCAGATTTCAGAAAGCTCAGAGTGGCTTGAAGTGTCCCACTCCCCCAAAAAACCCCAAGAACTGTCATACCTCAGGAACAATGTCAGATAGTGAGGTCACACTGCACCACAGAAGATCCAATAGAAGAGAAGACTCGTAGCTCAGGGTTGAACGGTGGAGTCCTCGGTGCCCTCTAAGCATGGTAGTTTGCTTGTGGACATTGTACTGATGAGCCTCAGTGCACTGATGTTGCTTAGTTGGGTCATGAGACGTCTTGCAAGAACCCCTTCCTGCTCCTTCAGCCTGTTGCCAGGAGGAATGCCATGGTGCAAGCAGAGAAGTTTGCAATTAAATTTGTGCTTGGGAATCAGGGAAGAAGAAATGGGGGTATCTGCGGAGAGAAGCAGCGATATAATGAAACTGCTTTCTCAACCATAACTGAAGCACCACTGCTGTGATGTTGTAATTGCAATGCCAAGGAATATGTCGGCTTAGGAAGTTAATAAGTGCCACTATCAGTATTAAATAAAATGCGTCATTTTGTGGGGTGGGTGGGTGGGAATGGATATGAAATCACGTATTTGCGTGCATGTTCCGATTGGAAGGGGAGAAAAGGATCTTTCCCCACCCCCTGCCCCATCTTCCTCGCTTAGCTGTGCCAATATTTAAAAGCTTCTGTAGTTTATCTACGCAAAAACAACTTACGTATGTTCAGCATGATGTAATCTAACGTGGCATAAGGAGACCTCTTAAAATTAAGAGTACAGAGAAAAGCAACAAAGACAGTGCTGGGATTCAGCTAGTTTGCGCCAGTTCGGCTGAACTTGTTGTTAATTTTTTGCATAGTTTGGTGAACTGGTTGTTTTCACCCCGAGCTGGCCTCGCCCTGCCCTGCCCACCAGGGTTGCCATTCAGGGAGGGGAGGCTGCAGGGGCATGACCGGGAGCCGCACTGATCAGCTGGGGGGCAGCAAAGGACCGGCCATGCCGATCAGCTGGGAGGCTGATCAGTCAGTTCAGTGATACCTTCCAACTTCACGAGATCTTTTTCCTCCCGAAGAAGCTGGAAGGTCTCACTGAACATTTTTTAAACTGGTAATCACACGGTCTTCTTTTGTTGCCCTGTATGCAGGAGAATAGAGCTGGGAAACAGGTAAGTGAGGGAATGAATGGTGGTTGTTCTGGAATGTGGTGGAAGTGAGGATTTTGCATTATGATTGCTTATAAGTAAGTAAGAACCAGTAAAAGAGAAACGGAAAAATCCCTATCTGTAGATCAGCGTTTTTCAGTCTTGGCAAGTTTAAGATGGACGAACTTCATGCTGCCTTGGGAATTCTGGGAATTGAAGTCCATGTACCTTAAAGTTGCCAAAGTTGAGAAGAAGGTGTCTACGCTAGAGCTTAGGATTTTCCATTCCTGTTTTTGCAATTAAATAAACCAGTTGTGGTTTCCTTAACAAATAGTGGTTAAAGCGATATGAACCATGACTGGACTTTTTGTGAGAAACTGAAATTAAAAGTTGATCTGGGCTTTGACGATTAGATGTGGGATTATGGAAATAATGTAGACAAATGTTAATCTTAAAGTGAGAGTTTGATATAGTTTTTACTTATATCTGTACCAAAGAAAGTTGGAAGTCATTCTTTTGCAGTTTTCCTTCTTTTCGTTTCTTTCTTACACTCTCACTCTTTTTCTTTCCTGAGTCTTTTCTTTTTTCAAATCTCTTTTTTATTTGTTTATCCCTTAGCTTTGTATATATATATATATATATATATATATATATTTGATGTATGAAAGATCAGATACTCAGCCATTATAATTCAACATTCCTTATTTACAGAAATCACATCAAAATCTCGAATGAAACCCACTGGGAGCCATCTCATATAACACAGGCCTTGAGTCCCTCTAACCAAAAAATGTATTTGCAGCTCAGGGTTGAATTGTGGGGTCCTTGGTGCGCTCTGAGCTTGATGGTTTTCTTGCAGATGTTTCATTACCAAATTAGCTAATATCATCAGTACTAGAAGGGAGTGGAGTTTGCTCTTATTTTCATATACTAGTGGCTTACCCTGTCAGTGTTGGTCAGTTGCTTCGCAAACAGTGTTTTGATTGATGCAGAGTCTCTACAGCCTCAGGCAGAGAAGGGTTATTCTGCACCCCTCCCTCAAATGTTTTTTAAAATACAGCATTCCTTTAGGAACCTCCAACATGCAACCTGGGGTTAATCATCCTAAAGCAAATCCTCTTTACCAGGAGCTTCAAAATTTGCAATTTGCTGGGAAGATGTGTAGCTAAAAGTCAGTCTACATTTACACCTGGGGATATTACTTCATAGCCAAACAAAAGTGTGTATTTTCTGTGCAGTTCACACCCCTTGCTGGCTGGATCTGGATGTCACAAAGCAAAGCCCACATTTTGTAATTAAACTGTGTGCCCCGTTTTGACTGACAGGCTGCTGCAGGAAGCTGAGTGCTGTCATGCCCCCTGGCCCCGCCCACCCAACCGGTCATTAGGACAGAGAACTGGTTGTTAAATTATTTGAATCCCACCACTGGCACTTAGACTTATATATCACTTCACGGTGTTTTACAACACTCTCTGAGTGGCTTACGGAGTCAGCCTATTGCCTCCAACAAGCTGGGTCCTCATTTTACCGACCTTGGAAGGAGGGAAGGCTAAGTCAACCTTGAGTCGCTGAGAATCAAACTGCTGGCAGTGGGCAGAGTTAGCTTGCAATAGCAATAGCACTTAGACTTATAAACCACTTTATAGTGCTTTACAGCCCTCTCTAAGCTGTTTACAGAGTCAGCCTCTTGCCCCCAACAATCTGGGTCCTCATTTTACCCACCTCGGAAGGATGGAAGGCTGAGTCAACCTTGAGCCTGGTGAGATTCAAACTGCCAAATTGCAGGCGGCTGGTAGTCGGCAGAAGTAGACTGCAGTACTGCACTCTAACCACTGTGCCACAGAGGCTCATAATGGTGGACTTGATGCATGAGGTGGACTTGATGCGTCTGCTCAACAGTTAAATATAATTTTGCAGAATTCTTGACCTTTGACAATAGTGCCTGCTGAGGTAATTAAAATTATTCATGTGATTCGCAATAAATTGGGTGAAAATGTCTGAGGAAAGAAAAAAAAATGGTCTGAAAAGTTGTCAGGTTTAAAAACTCAAAGAAAAAATAAACCACCAAGGTAAAGGTAGTTCACGACTTACAACTGTTCATTTAGTGACCGTTCAAAGTTACAACAGCGCTGAAAGAAGTGACTTATGGCTGTTTTTCACTCTTATGACTGTTGCAGCATCCCCGTGCTGTTGCAGATCCCATGATCAAAATTCAGACACTTGGCAACTGACTCATATTTACGATGGTCGCAGTGTCCCTGGGGTCATGGGATCCCCTTTTGCGATCTTCTGACCAGCAAAATCCGTGGGGAATCCAGATTCACTTAACAACCATGTTACTAATTTCATAAATGAAATGATTCACTTAACAAGAGCGGCAAGATAAGCCGTAAAAATGGGGGCTCAATTTTGTGGCCGTAAGTCAAGGAATACCTCACCAGAACAGTGACCGCCAACCAGTGGGCCGGGGACCACTGGTAGTCCACGAGAAAATTTTGGTGGTCCGCAGAGAACTGTCACCCCAAAGCACCCCCAAAGCAATTAATCCAGGCTGCGTGGGAACACAAGGCTTGCGTTGCCCACATGGCCTATGGGAACACAAGGCTTGCTTCGCTTGCATTGTGAACAACACGAGGTAGTGAGGGGAGGGGGGAAAGGGCAGAGGGGGGAACTTGCTCCACTCTCCCCACGCGCCTGGCCTGGTCACCGGGCTGCTTCTTTCTGCTTCTTTCTTCTTCTGCTTTTGGCTGCACGCAAGGAAAGCAGCAAAAGTCTTCCTTTCTCTCCCCCAAACTCCGCCAGAAATGAGTCTTTGGGACCCTGCAAGGCCTCCTGCTCCAAGAGGCTGCGCCCTTCTGGCGGAGTTTGGGGGAGAGAAAGAAAGACTTCTGCTGCTTCTGCTGCTTTCCTTGCATGAAGCCAAAAGTCTCCCCCCCCCCCCCGAGAATGGAGCTGGAGACAGTATCCTGTGATCCCAAATCAAGAATGATCGGTCGGTAGGAAAACAGGGTGGGCAATTTTCCTGCAGACCTTTTGGGGGATTTTCCCAGGGTCTCTGGTCCACGGGATTTAAAATTATGAGTTTGGTGGTCCCTGAGGTCTAAAAGGTTGGCGACCCCTGGACTAGATGACCTCCAAGGTCCCTTCCAACTCTGTTATGTTGTTATTCCATGAATAACCAACCTTTCTGGAAAGTCAAAACTGCAGAAGGCCAGGCTGCAACTCGATTTTGTTATTTTATTTTTTGGGGGAGCCATTTTTTTCCTTCTCTCGGTTTCCTCACTGAGAGCAACTCAGGAGTAGGCCCTGCCAGCGGCTTATGTGAGACTTAGAAGCAACCAGGCCATTAATAAACCCCCAAATTTCCAAGGCACCTGTGAGGCGAGCAAGAGTAGAAATCAGCAGTGCTTATCACCTTATAGATGGCAACCTTGCCTGCATATTGTTCCAAACTGCAGCCCTACTGTTTTTAATTAGTGTACAGCAAAAAAAAATAAAAAATTAATAGAACCAAACTAAAAGGAAGCTTTAAGAAACCTCTAAGGGGAAAAAAAAATAAAATAAAAATAAAAACCGGCACAAAGGGATCGGTCCAGTTTTCCCTCCAAAAGCCCTAATAGATTTTTAAATGGGGTTATTAACACCTCCGATGAATTATTTTTAGGGGCACTAATTATAAAAAACAAAACTTGGCTAATTGGGCTTTGTAGACGCCTCTCCGTGGAGGGTGAAAATAGGCTGAGGAAGAGCTGAAGGGTGGAGGAACTGATTAGGGTGGGGAGAAGGAAGGAAGCGGGAAAAGCTGCAGAGAACGCGTGGATTTCCTTGCCAAAGCCCGGTGAATAATTGCGGCTTTAATTATCGGCAGAACTGCTGGCTTTGGGCTCTATGGAAAAGTTGGTCTGGGTTACTCAGCCAACCTTAGGACGGATGGACAAATGCTATCGAGCCCCAAATTTCTGTAGTTAAAGGAGACATTTGTGAAGTGAGCTTTGCCCCATTTTGCGACCTTTGGGTAGATCGTTAGGGGACTGGAGGCTAAGCCTGAGACACGTAAAGAACAATTGCAGAGATCTCCAACCTTGGCAACTTTAAGACTTGTGAACTTCAACTCCCAGAATTCTTCAGCCAGCCATGTTGGAAAGACCAAGGGAGGAAGGGAG